ACAACGATACTCAGCCATCGGTCGACGAAATGAGAAAAGCTGCCGCCAACAGAGAGAATTGGTCTAAGATTATTGTCGCCTGCAAACCCAGACTGTTCGCAGCCGAATGATGATGATGATGATGATGATGATTCGGATCAGCAGTGATGGAGAAACTAAAACAGCGCTAGACCTAGTCTTTACCGATTCTAACACAATAATTATTCAAGTTGAGGTGGAAGATGGTCTGTGTTAATTGTGGTCATAATAAGATTATTAAGTTTAAACTAACATTGAATATTGGGCGCTCTCCACTGTTGACAAGAAAATTTTATAACTACAAATCTACTGGCTAGAACTTTTTTCGTTACACTCTAGTTTAAATTCTCACTTTTTTCTGTCATTTTACGTGTATTAAATGATAAAGTCATGATATTAGAATCGAACATGTAAAAGGCAGTCGATCAATATATTCCTGCTAAAGTCGTTCGGATATTTTCGAATGATCAGCTGTGGTTTACACAACATTCGCGCTTCTTGTATAGAAAGAAAAAAACGTCTATACAGAAAATGTAAACGGAGCTCTTTTCTCTCTTTCATAGAAAAATACAGTAGGGTGAATCATGAATTTGAAAAAGTTGGTGCAGAAGTAAAAGAAAAATATTTAGAATGTAAAAAGAAATACTAATCCATCATAAAAGTCATAATAAAAATTGAATAAACATCAGTTCTGAAAAAGTACGCAGTCAGCGTATATTTCAACATAAAAATGGGATTACTTATTCAAATAGTTCGTTGAAAGCTAATATATTAAATACTCATTTCATAAAAGCTTGTTCTATGAACAGTAATGCGTATAATAAAACCATTCATCCACACATCATCGCAAATATTCCAACTCTTCCTCTTTTTACCTTTTCGCTAGTAGAAGTAGTGATGTATCAAAATGAACTAACTATATCAAAAATACTTGAAAGGTTTGTTTTCAACCAACTATACGATTATGTTAAACAAACATAAATGATTAACATCGTTTCAGTCAGTATTTATCCAAGGTGACTCGACCGTTAACCAACTGATCGATCCTGTGCTTGAAATACGCGAAAATCTCGGCCGTAAAAATTTTACTCTCTATATTCCTTGATTATTCAGGGCCTCCTTTATAAATTACAGAAGAACGGTGCGTCAGATAAACTAGTAAAATGGTTCTAGAGCTGTCTTAATCGAAAAAATGTCACAGTAGTAAGCAGAAAAACTTCCAATACATTACTGTCACAAAAAATGGCAAGATCCTGGGATATTCTTCCCTCACCTTCATTTCCCGTCGAGCACAGACCCGACTAGAACTCAAATTTTCTGAAAAAGAATAGACAGAAATTAAACCTCATTTGATTCGGTAAACAATCATATTTATGCTCACTTAGCTTGAATCTCGACCATTTCAAGTAAAGAGAGAAAAAATTATGAATTTTTTTAATTCGAAATTTCACCTGTAGTTGAAACGGTAACCAATAGACTGGCATAATTTTATTTTTCTGACGAGTCTCTTACCTCGTCTTTCTAGTCGTTTATACAACGAATTATCTCCTTTTGCTATTGATCGTTGTGTATAGTAAAGAACGGCACGCACAGATCCACGAGTACTGAAGCCGGGAACTAAGGGGATCACAACATAAACACGGAACTTTTCATTCTGTCTGCAAAGCAAATAAGCACAAATAATTTAACGAAAAACTGATTACATGACACACATACTTATGAGCTCGAAGTATTCGTCGATAAAGTGCTCCTCCAATATCATTTACTACTGTTGAATCATCGGCAATCGTGACAAAAAATTGATTCTAAAATCGACACATATAAACGAACTTATAACCCAAGAAATGAAGGAAAACATACTTCGATATAAATAAAATGCTTGGATGCATCAATTAACTCCACATAAGCATTTTGAATCGAATGTTCAGTTTGTTTAATGCCAGCTGACCATTCACTTGAGGAACGGACAAACTAAAAATGATAAAAAATCTTATGGAATCTTGTAAGAAAAAATAAATTTTTGTTTGCTAACACCTTATAAGAATAAGATCAACAACGGCTGATCAGGCCGAGCTTCTTTGAAAAAACAAAATGGTCGTCCTGATCAATCTCACATTTCTATTCTTTGTATGACCAATGGCCAAATCACACTCAAAAAAATATAAAAATCAAAGACTCGTCAAAGTATTTTGTCTAAGAAAGGCTCATGATCGTAAGTAGGGACGCTCGGTTCTCGTGAAGAACCGGAATCGCCGTTTGGTTCCGCATGAGAAACCAGAAAGGCGGTTCTCTTATTTCCAGTTCTTCATTAAAAACTGGAACCGCGGTGTCGATTCTGACAATGGAACCGGAGCCGCAGCTTCTTAGACGGTTCCTTATTTTCAGAACCGAGACTATTTGACTTGCCTTTCTTTAAAAAACTAAAAACACCCTATTGACAAAGTTACAGAAAGATATATTCGCCTGTCATCATTTAAAAGAATCCTTTCTTTTACTATAAAATGAATTCTATTTTGTTGAACTGTCACTGCCTGAAAAATGATTTTCATATTCTAAGCTGAGAATCGACGATCGCAGTTCTGTCTTTATTTCGGAACCTGAGTTGCGATTCTATTCGTTTTCATACCGTATGAAGAACCGAAACCGCGGTTTCGATTTCAGAACAGAGAATCGAACATCCCTAATCGTAAATTATTGATTCTCTACTGTAAAATATTCGATCCTAGAGCTGAAATTGCTTCGCAAAGGAGTACATCTCTTATTAAGGCCGGTAGAAAGAAGTCACATATCTTACAAATAGAAACTAGATGATATTTATGCCGCATTACACGTGCGAATACAATGTGGAAGTTGTAAGTCCGTACATTCGTGCTACTTTAGATTCTGTTGGAAATCAGTGCTGCAGATTTTCCACAAGTTTTGTATCAGGATCTGTCTCGATAAACCTTGAGCAGATCTTGTCAAGATATTTCAAGAATATTGAAATGTATAATGCGCAATAATCAGAATCTTCATTGACAAACTTGGACATTTGTAAGAAAATCTTAAACTTTGTTTTCTACTTCATATTTTCATTTTTTTTCTACTGCATCACTACACTGCAAGCCAGAGATGTAACCGGTACCGGCAGGTCCAGCCCGGCCCGGTCCAGGGAGGAATTTCTGACCGGCCAGTCGAGAAAAAAAATGTTTTTTTGCCTGAAGAATCAGTAATCTGTTTAAAACAACTTTGCTAAGCTAAGTAAAACAAGGCTTTTCATATTTCAGATTAAGGAAAGTTAGTCTGGTTTTCTCTTTTTTGTCAACAGTCTTCGAGAGCAGGACTGGTAATCTCTACTATGTGAATATTTTCTTTCTTCATGTTTTTCTTTCTTTTTTAATGTTTGTTGCACTATTATCGGCTCTAAAATACAAGGCCGGTGATTATTTTTTAAATAACTCAGCAGGAATAAATGATCAAGACTTGCGGTATTCATTATTCGCTAGCCAAGATCTTAGACTATGTTTTCATAAGCAAAAATGAGTTTGGAAAAATTTAAAAGATCGGTTCTTCAGGAGATCTATGGAAAACCAGTTCGTTTCTCTGAAAGCTGACATAGAAATCAGAGACCGAATCGGGTCTTACGTGGATGACCCGAACCCGACCCGACCCGATTCAATATTTTTTATATTAACCCGAACCCGACCCGATCCGAAGGCTTTTGGACCCGACCCGAAATTTTCAAAACTGGACCCGAATGAGCCGAAAATTTTTCTTAGTTGACCTAACAATAACTCGAAACAGAAAACCGTTTGTCTCGATCGTGTGTTATCATGAAGTCTAATCATCATA